TCCTCCACCAGTGCTCCCCCCTCTCCCCCTCCCTGACACTCACCCCCCACCCCCTCTCCAGTGGACTGTCACTGGGATGAAATCACACCTGTGCTTCTCACACATCTCGGCACACGGGTGAAACATGCGCAGGGTGAAACATGGTGAGGGAGCTTTGCTGAATCTCATTAGCCAAGCAGGTAGTCATTAACAGAATGACCTTTGGAAATAATTACCCGCCTTCCTCCCTCCATCCCTCTCTCTCTCTCTCTCTCTCTCTCTTCCTCTCTCTCTCTCTCTCCCTCTCTCTCTCTCTCTTCCTTGCATCCTGCTTTCTCTCCTAACACTCATCTATCCCTCTGTCCCTCCTGTCTGTCTTCAACGTTTAGTAGTTCCTCCATCGTGTGCACGGAGGCAGAGAAAACGAAAAAAAAAAAGGAAAACAAAGGTTGAGAGTTGGGTGGGAAGTCAAGTCCGTGTAGCTGCTGTTTAAGATTATAGGGTGAGCTGAACTTTCAGCTTAGGCTAATCTTTGGCAAATTGGATTGGCCAATGGTACTCCACTGGCAGGTAGGCATGCAGGCAGGTCACTTCAGTACCAAGAGCCATGTGCCGCTCCATGTGATACCAGAGCCAGAGCCGAGGTGGTGTGCATGGTTCTGCCTGAGGAAATCGCAATGCTGTCAGCTCAGCAGGGTTCAACATAATTGTCACCATGCATGTTCACATGGAGGCAGCATAGCCATGCGAACATAGGTCAAACACAACACAAGCACATACGAGGATAATAGCTTAGACTCTATGGAAATGTTCACAGACTCAAAGCTGTTCGGATTATTTTCCTGGAAGTAAAAGCATGCATCTCCCTACCACCAGACTAACTAACCCTTTAGTTGTTTCACAAACCTGCACTCTTTGTTTCAGCATGTGGAGAGAACAAACACATTGTGGAGCAGGGATTTGGCAAAGCTCAAGTGTGTTGTTGGATTTGGGGCCTTTCAATCACAGCGTGAGCCAGCCAACGCTGCTTAGGTTTGGGCTAGAGCTGCAACCATCGTGAGAGGAAAGAAAGGACTCTTTCATGTGCTATTGCAATTACCAACCCCCATACCGGAATAATAAATCACCAATAACGACTGAAAGTGATTGTTCTTAGGCATGAATAAAACGAGACAAAAAAAAAAAAAAAAGAAAGAACAAAATGAGAGATGGATCTATTCTCTTGTCTTTCCCCAACACAGCCCTTATGCTGCTCAGATGTCCAGGAAACTGGCCTGGCAAACTGTGAGTATAGGAAATCTATCTGCATGTTTGCCTGTTTTATCTGCAGCCAGACTCAGAGTGTGCTGTAGACCTGCCAGGATGACACACTTGGACCTTCTATGGACATCCAGCAATGACGGATCTGCCTGTGTGTTTGCTTTTATCACGCTACGAGTGCCTAGATGAGCCGAGATGTCTCTTTGAACACTTATCGTTAATTAAGAGGACCTCCCCTCTTGTTCAGACAAAGGCTGATAACAGCGTCTATTGCATTATTTATCACAGTCTCTGGTGGAGTATCAGTAAGTTGAGATATCACAGTCTAACATGACATATAATCAAATGCATGCATTAATGAAACAAATGAAGGAAGCCGTGTCCCTGGTTTGTTTGAAATAGCAGCTGTATAGTGTAATATGTGATGCTGTTTATGTAAAGTTGGTGCTGATTTTGGTTTGTTGGCTTGTATCTGTAGAAACGTCCAAGACTAGATAGTTTTCAAGTGAGTCATGAAGATTGTTTTTACCACTCCTCTTCCTTTACCTCCCTTTTCATCTCCTTACTTGTGTGTTATGCGTACACTTACGTGACCCATGCATACGCTCAAGATAACGAGATAAAAACAAACATAAAGATAATGTACGGTCAATAAAAAGGAAGAAAACTGAACACAAAAGACAGAAAGAGAATGGGAGAGGTAGAGAGATCAGCCCTCAAGCCTCTTGTAAACATGCTGTTGCTAGAGAGGCAGAGCAACTTTCTCAGTGCCACTCTCTCAACAACGCTAATTATCAACCAAAGACATGCTAATTACATAGAGCTTTATTGCTAATGTAGCAGGTCTCTATGCCAGCCGCCCACACTGTGAGCTCCGTTCCCCTACCTCTGCCTCTCCTCCCACTACAACTTCAGGCACAGCAGTACCAGAGGGAGAAGGATGTGTGCTTTCCAGTGTAAAGACAAGAGTGTGTACAAATTAGACAAGGGAAGTGACACATGTGAGGTGTCACATTTAAGATCATTTTGATTCTCTTTTTGTCGTGAAACCCAGTTCTTCAGTCTTGAACTCCGCCTAATCGTCCTGTCAGCTCAACAGGAAGTCCACGTTGCTCTTTCCTCCCTGCAAACCTGCCCATATTACTGCACCTGTGACATCACTTAACAGCAGCGTACACAGCGTCTAGCTTATTTGACCCCCCTACACTCTCATCCCAGCTATTATAAAAATGCTAAAGTCTGCCCTGTGGCCAGTCCCTTTAGCGCATCGCCGCTGAGGCTGAAGGCCTCTTCAAATCGATTTCCCCCGCAGCGAGTTGCTCAAAATGAACAGAGTCCTCTGGGGATCAAATTGTAGGTAGTGCTCTGGAGCATCATCCCCCACTAGGCTCTTTAGCATCCTCCCCTGACATGGCTGTTTACACGTTACCCTTCCTCAGCTTCCTAATGGAGCTACAAAGCAGGGAAGTCTCATCACAGGCACTCACTGAAACATGTGACGGCTCTCTTCTTCAGCTGGGGCAGGTTAATACGTAGACAACGTGAGCACCGAGGATGGTGCTGCACAAAAAACACCAGTACTTAGAGGATTTAGAATTACGCTAAATTGTTGAATGCATTTTATAGAATGCATGTAGCATTAGCTGAATTAAAACTACAAAAAGCTGAATACAGTGAGTAATAGGTGGGTAATAACGTATGCCCTGTAAAAGAGAATGAATTCTAATGCTTTTCAGTAAAGACCAAGACAATACAAGAAGTCCATTCCTCTTGTTTTTGTCACTGAGGTTAGTCATGTGCTATTTCGTTTAATGTATCAGCCACATCAACACAATTCTCTTTTTCTGACCTCACCAAACGAAGATGGCTGTGGAACAATGCAGAACTGAAATCAGCAACCATTTTTTTAGAGGTTTCAGTATGATGCAACATGTTTGTTTACACAGTTCTACAGAAGCTTTTTCGACTAAAGCTGAGATTTTCCATTAGTTTCCATTATTTTCAACCCTGCATGGAAAACAAGTTGAGCAGCAACCATAAAAAAACGATTATTTCCCACACCGTTTGGTCCCGTTTCAGACTGACCATAAGGAAACATGAGCCATTACACTGCCTGGCCAAAAAAAAAAGGAAGTCACCACCAAAAAGAAAAGGTTACACACTCTGATATTTCCTTTAGCTTTGATTACAGCGCACATTCGCTGTGGCATTGTTTCCATAAGCTTCTGCAATGTCACAAAATGCATTTCCATCTATTGCTGCATTAATGTTTCACCAGCATGTTGCATTGATGATGGTAGAGTCAGACGGCTTCACAAAGCCTCCTCCAGCACATCCCAAAGATGCTCAGTGGGGTTAGGGTCTGGACTCTGTGGTGGCCAATCCATGTGTGAAGATGGTGTCTCATGCTGCCTGAACCACTCTTTCATTATCTGAGCCCAATGAATCGTGGCGTCGTCATCTTGGAATATGCCCGCGCCATCAGGGAAGATGGAATAACCTGGTCATTCAATATATTCAGATAGTCAGCTGACCCCATTCCTAGAGCACTTCCTGTTGCTGAACCTAGACCTGACCAACTGCAGCGACCCCAGATCATAATACTGCCCCCACAGGCTTGTACAATAGACATGATGGGTGCACAACTTCATCTGTTTCTCTTCTTACCCTGATGTACCATCAGTCTGGAACAGGGTCCGGCTGGACCCATCAGACCACTTTTAATAATGCGTTGGGCAGTTCTTAACCCAGTTTTAGTCATTTCTGCAATCTCCTTTAATGTTTTCTCTGCTTGATGCATGCCAATGATCTGACCCTTCTCTAACAGAAAAAACATGCTTTCCACGACCACCAGATGTGTCTTTCCGCATGGTTGTTTCAGAAATGAGAAGCAACTCGTTGCACCAGTTGGGGTTAAATAACTTGCTGCCAGCTGAAAGATAATCGACCATGCAGTAAGGTATATACTCATTATTGCTTGAAAGATTGCAGAAAAAAACAATGTGACATTTCCATATGTGTAGAACTATGATTCATTCAAAATGGCTTTGCTGGCTGGGTGCACTTAAATGATGGCATGGTGAGAGATTAAATGAGAGGAGGGGGGAAAAAAAGCAGAGATCACCCCTGTATCGTGTCTGTGGCCCACCAGGTCAGAGCGAGCTCCTGAGTGAGTGTTGCGTAACTGGTTCATGTTGAGAGCTTAAGAGTTCATGATGGTGTAAGCATCATTTCCTGCTTTATCTACCTGCCTGGAGGAGAGCTTCACTGGCTGCACTGTTTAACATCGCCTTGAGCCACTCCTGTGACATGTGTCCAAAGTAAGTCAGATCAACATCCTCCTCTTAGAGTCACATCGATGGTGACAAGACACAAAGGGCACGGGTTATTCACCACAGGGGACAGTCTAAAAGGGCCAGATCGATAATAGGCTACGACTCCATTATGTTAGAAATGAAGAACATTGAAATAAACAATTTTCCTATGTCTGATAGTCAAATATTAGGTCTTAAAATAACTTTAATAAAAATGATTGATACCACTACCAAACCCTTGGGGAAGACCGACAAGCTATGGGAGCAATTATTTCTTGCACTCTGTTAGGTGTGAAGACTAAAAGAGAGAAGTAAGGGTTGCTGAATGAGTCACAAGCGCAGCAACCATCTGTTTGCTTGTGTGTTTGCATGAGCTTGCATGTTGGGGTGTGGGCTCTTGGTGTGTGTGTGTGTGTGTGTGTGTTTGTGTTTTTTCTTGTGCCGTACCTCCACAATATCCGAGTTGGTTCTGCTCTCGTGGGGCTCATTGTACTCGGTGTATTTAAGCAGGACCTTGTCCATGTCTGTGCTGGCATACTGGAACAGCTTGTTAGTGCTGTTGAAGATGATCAGGGCGATCTCACAGTCACACAGCACGCTCAGCTCGTATGCCTTCTTCATCAGGCCAAACTTTCGCTTTGTAAATGTCACCTGGGTGAGAGGAGAGAGAGATGGAGAGAGGTGGGAAACAAAATCATCGTATAAACAATGACTGTTCTCGTTTGCAAGAGGACATGAAGACAATAGTAACAGTATGTTCACACATGGAAATAGATGATTACTTAATGGTAACAACATTAGTTTGCTTGGTGTTGCAGGATTAGCACACACACACACACACACACACACACACACACACACACACACACACACACACACACACACACACACACACACACACACACACACACACACACACACACACACACACACGCACACAGACAAACAAATCCTACATTCTCTAATGGCTACGTTGACATGATTTGCTCCCAGGTCCAGGGTCGCATCACTGACAGCAAGTTGTAGTGTGCTGAGAGTTCAACATCCCCCTGACATTAGCAGGCCATCAGGAAAAAGAGGAACTGAAAATACTCTGCTACAGCCAGATAACGGTAAAGAAGATCAGTTGTTTCTTGTACATCAAAGATCACAGAGGTTCATTGTGGAAATTACGATAAGTTAAAGCACCCCTTTCACATGTTTCATGCTCTCATTTTTCCATTCCCCTCATAGCAGAAAGGAAATGCACACACCTATTTCTAACATTTTCTTCAAGCTTTCGGCAATAATGAAAGATGCATTTCTGGACTGTGCTTGAAGGAGTCTGAGAGTAAATGTGCTGCAGTTAAACCACAAAAGTTGCCTTTGTTATACGGCCAGTTCATCTCTCTGCGTCTATTTGTGAAGCTACGCGAGTGCATCTGTGTTTGTGAGCCCTAAGATTAGTAGCTCTTGCTACAAAGGCTTACAAGTGCCCACATTGTCAAAATAGAACAGCCTTTATTCCTCTATTGTTTGGATCAAACTAGAGCAGTGAAAGTGAGTTAATTCTAGTGAGCTGCACCTGGTTTCTTTTCCAAGCGATTTTTGCAAGCTCCTTAGTTGTGTGTTGGGAAAAAAAAATGCCAGTGCCAGCCTTCCTCTCTCTGAGCAACACTGCATGTTGATAGTGGAATTTCCTTTTATATTTTCTTCTGAGACTGAGTGTATTAATTGCATTGGAGATCTGTCTCGACAAAGCTTTTGCAGAGGGGAAACACTGCCAGAGCTGCGCCCAGCTGGTGGCTAACCATCTTAGTTTGTTGATTAACTGCTTGTTTGCCTATTCTCCCTTCTGACATTTAAGTGGCTAAAAAACACAAAATAAAAGCAGAATGAATTCATGCTCCGAACATAATAAAGAGACTATTACTGTGAGCATAAAGGCTCTTTCATCCTGAGCCTTTAAAGAAATGCTCTGTGTTTGTGGTTGATCTGGGTAATGAATGGATTCTTGGCATTTTTCTTTTCTCCTTACAACTGCAAAAGGAGACAGGCTTCACGAGATATTGATAGTTTTGGATTTCCTGAAATCAAATATCCCAGGATGCACTGGGGAAACGGAATAACAAACTCATTCCTGCCTCCATCCGGTCTTTCTTTCTGTCTTGTCGGTAAAATATTGCACGAGCTTTTGTATCTTGGACGCCTTCCCTCTCGACTAAAAGTTCCTGAGTGACCACATCATGTTGGAATGATGTCACCTCATTGTGCGGCACTATCTGTCAGACAACGGGCTGAAACCCGCGACATAGACAGCATTCCAACTCCTGAGACACTTGACTGTGGAAAGCTGGGTCGCGTAACTCGGTACACTCGACACGTGACGACACGAGGAGAAAACGCTCCCCTGGGCTGCAAATACCATGCTGACATTTACACAGTCATGGAGAAATGTGGGTAAAATAAGCCTTATTCTTACGGTGAAATATTAAAACTCAGCTTGTGACAATGTGATTAATTTTTACACAACCCGCTCTGACCTGCTTCACCCACAAGTGAAACAGTTCCTTACAGGAGGGGGGTGAGGTAACCAGTCAATACGACAACAGGACCGTCAAACATAAGGTCAAAATACAGTCTTCAAGAACAGGGCACGCAGAGTGTTGTCTTCCACAGATGTTATAATGCAGGGGGACGACACAGAACACAACTAGCTGCCATCCATCCGCGCTATTATTATCGTGCACTTAGACACAGGGCAACATCCAAGGACCCAACAACCTCTAGCCTCCAGTGGCACCCCCAGGTAATTACCGGGGCGAGTGCAGATTAAAATTTAGTGTGCCAAATTGGTCCTTGTGGTAAGCCTGGTAGTTTAGCTTGTAGCCGTGCATTGCAAGCGCCTTCGTACATTTCTGTTATTTTAGTGATAATTTCAACATTTATTAAAAAAAAAGTTAGAACAGTTTAATTTGCCAGATGTTGTCTTTACAAAAGCTATGAAAATTTATACTTTTTTTTGAGGCAGTGGGGTGGCCAGCAATTTTCCAGGAGTGATGATGCCCCCCACACCCCCACCCCCCGTTTGTGAGCACCCCTGCTAGCCAAAGGGAGCTGCACACACACTAGTTAAGGCCACTCACATTGTGCTTCATCAACTTCAACAACTTCAACAATAGATACACACACACACACACACACACACACACACACACACACACACACACACACACACACACACACACACACACACAAAACATTGCAACAAATAATCTGGGTGACATTTATTCTGCATTTCTCATAAATGAAAAATGAAGCAGACTCCAATCAAAGTCGTCTCGAGGATCACACTTCAAACATGGATCTGCGTACATGCTTTTCCACACATATTATAATTCACACGTAGACTGTCTTTAACAGCACCACAGGAAGAGAATGAGTGTGATCATTTAGAAAAAATAAAAATAAAAAACGTAACTGACCAAACAACAACAGCTACATAAGTATCACACCACGCCCCCACATCTCAACCTGACACGTTCAACCTCCAACACACGTACGTTCTAGATCACACCGACACGCACACGGCTAGCTCCACCGAGGACACACGCAGTTTGAAAAAGACAGTTGGCTTGTTCGTGAATGCTGCATGGATGACAAATGGCTTGGTTAATACTTCGTGTGGGATGTGCTAATTTGTACTGAGTCTCACCTACATCGTTTTATTTCCAGTTCTTATGTCAGTGCTCAGAGACACAGCAGAGGACTGATAGCCTCATGATGCAAACCTTCTTTTGTCCGTTGACGTCCAAGAAGGCGATGCAATCACTAGTTTTTTTTTAGAAAATAAAAAACACATTGACTGGAGAGTTTCTTTGTGACTAAAAGTAGATGCTAATGGGTAAAAAATGTGTTAGAATAATGTTTTAAATGACGTAGCATCTAAGGGGGATGGATGTTGTAAATGGGAATTTACCAAAAAAAATATCACTGAGTGAGATAACAGTCCAACATGTTATATTTTATGCTTTTCTATTTTAAGATTGTGCTAATCTTATATTCTGTTCAAAGTAAAACAGTCATATGTTTCTAGATCACCAGTTTGACACTACAGCAGTGTGTGTGTGTGTGTGTGTGTGTGTGTGTGTGTGTGTGTGTGTGTGTGTGTGTGTGTGTGTGTGTGTGTGTGTGTGTGTGTGTGTGTGTGTGTAGGCTGGTTGAATGGATCAATATGAGTATGAACCCAACTTTGTCTTTTCACAGTACATTGGTAATCTGGGATTGAAATCAAACTTCATGAAGCTTAAGTAAAACACACATGCACACCCACACACGCGCGCGCACACACACACACACACACACACACACACACACACACACACACACACACACACACACACACACACACACACACACCATTGAAACCATCAGTGGAGCAAACATTTCAACTAATGGATCAGAATAAAATACTTTAGCAAACACATAAACTCTTCTACACATTAATCAGAAAAACATTTACCCTTTATAACAGTTTTTTTTAATAATTTATCCAAAGAAAATTCTCTCAAACTCTGAACACAGCTGAGTGAACATGCACAACAGTCACACAGCAACACGCTACTTGTTTGTTGACCCCTATCCTCCTCCACAGCCCCTTCCCAGGGGAACTACAGACACAAGCGGTTTAACACAGATGCCTACGCAAATTTAACACACACACACACACACACACACACACACCTCCATGTAATCACTTAATCACACAAATCACCTTTACCGATGCTGTTAGCCTCTTCTAATTTCTTTTATGTTCCCATCTAGAGTATGCATTAATTAGTTCTTCTGTCTTTCTGTTTGTGATATGCAATGATATGCCTAAGAAACATCAACAAATATCATCACGTAAAGAAATAAAATCACATACATTTTTTCACATAATTGGATTGCAACTTTTTTCCCTATCGGGCAAAGACAAACACACTCGGGATAAACAGAGAAATCAGGGACTGAGTCTGACTCCGAACCACACGGGTGAAAGACGGGAGGGAAGGAGGAGAGAGAAAAGAGGGGGGGTTGGACGCACAGGAAGCACATTTGTATGCATTTCCTCTCATAACAGGAAGAGGCCAGTGGCTTCCCCTTCACAATGGCTTCGCTTCTGCTTCCCACCTCCTGCTGGCTTCCCTAGGGGAGGAGGAGGCGAAGGAAGAGGAGGAGTGGAGAGACAGGCACCAAAACCTGCTGGTTAATAAACCAAACATGGCCACAGGAGGACACACACACACACACATAGATGTCACTCACCTATTGAGAAGCACAGTTTGTCTCGAGACAAACACTTCTCCCATTGTCAAAGCAAAGCAGGAAGACACGAGCGTACGCAAAGGGGAGTGAGAGGAACCCAAGACCTTGGCGTGAACTCTGCCTCACAGCCAAAAAGGCATTTAAGAGGGGCATTATGACAAAAGAGGCTTTGTCCCACCTCTAATATATTCTCTGCTCTGTTCTCTACCTATCATCCTTTTTCAGTGTGTTTGATGTGTGGTAAGAACAGGAAACAGCATGTCCTGATTCCCTATCTGGGCTGAGGGAAAAAAGTCCACTTTAGTTAAACACTAACCTGTCAAATGGATTGAATGACGTCTTTGATTTGACCAGTTTTACTTATAGATCTTGAAAAATGCACATCCGTGTAGATTGTCCTAACCAGGACTAGTAACTACGTTTCAGGACAGCGCTCCAAAATGGCTGAGCCCCTCTGCATGTTCCTGTTTACACAGACAAACCACAAACGGGGGGAAAAAAAAGTCTAAAAAAAGTGGATGCTACATTTCAGAGCCCAAGTTAGCGGTCGGAATGACAGGAATAACTTTTTCTGTCATTTATTTGAGGTGGGTAAACTTTTGCCGTTGAGCTAAAGTTGAAACTGTCTCACACTGAGATGCAGTTTCACCTCAACATTGGGGATTTATAGACAAATAAATCTTTTTTATAGTTTAAAACTCTTTGTTTAGTGACATAAAATTAAGTAAAAATAATGACTTTGTTTAATATAAAAGGCAAGTCAGTAGAAAACATAAGTCATTTTTTAGTAATACATTGTTTTAATTAGAAATATTTTTACATAAGCAGTGCTGTTTTATTTTAAATGTACGGAAGAGGATTAGGGACACAGACAAGAAAAAAAAAGATTTTTGATTTATTTCTCAGAAGTAAACAAATCAGAACTATGAAAAATAAATGTCAGAATTCTGAGATTAAAGTCAGAATTTTGAGGTTAAAGTTCAAATTTTGAGAGTAATGCCAGAGTTTTGAGATTGAAGTCAGAATTCCAAAGAAAAAGTCAGAATTCTAAAATTAAAGTCATGATTATGTGAAAAAGTCAGAAATCTTTGAGAAGAAGTCAGAAATCTGAGGTTAACGTCTGAGGTTATGAGGTTTGCTTTACAGACTCTGACACTCGTCGGTAACTTGTGTAATCTGGTGGGTTCCTTACATAAGAAACTTTTGAACTGCACTGGAATGTTTACTGTGTGAAGTGCATTGAGACGACTCTTGTTGTGATTAGGAGATAAATAAATAAGCCCAACTGAATTAAAATCCTAAATAAAAGTCAGAAATCTGAGATTAAATTGTGTGAAAAAAAAATCAGAATTCTGAGACTAAAATCAGAATTTTTGAGGAAAAGGATCAGAATACTTTTTCTTTTCTTTTTTTCTCTTCATTGTCCCTAATCTTCTTCTGTACTACTCAAACTTTTACCCTAACTTTAGAGAATTTTTCTACACAGTTTAAAACATTCTAAATAAACCCTAAAATCTAAAAAAAAAAGGTCCATAAATATAAAGTAAAAAAAACTCTTACAGTGACTAAGCGGGGGGGGGGGGGGGGGGGGGGGACTCTTAATTTGAAAAATACAACAAAAAAAGTTGCAAAAAAAGAAAACATATTATTAAAATAACCATGTGTGAGCTCAGTGATCCTTCTCAGGTGAGATCCTGTAGAACATATGACAGAGGAGCGCCGCTCGCTGTGGTAAGAGACGGGGAGAGGAGAAGGTGGGAATCGGGGAATTACAGGAGGGTTTCAGGGGTGAGGAGCTACCCTGTGGGCCTCATTATTTTCCTGCTGTTAATTTTTCTCACACATTTTCTCACCCCAGTGCTGTTGATTGGAGGGAAGAATGCCGCTGAAACAAAAAGCCCCTTTATTTCAGCTTCGGCGTGGCAGTGAGGGAGGAGAGAAAGCTTATGTCGAGGGGACATAAAAACATACTTTTTTTTTTATCTTCCTCCAGCAAAGAGCATGTTTGGGTGACTTGTTGTTTGTGGGAGCTGGGAGATCCCGTTGTTTTACTTCCTGTCACTGATGACCTGATCCATGTTTAACCTTTAACCCTGGGTCTTTTCCCAGTGGAGCCCACATGTCCCACACAATGACACACACACACACACACACACACACACACACACACACACACACACACACACACACACACACACACACACACACACACACACACACACATGCAATGCAAAAATTCACACAAGTCCTCCCAAATGAAGCCAGTGAGTGTGCTGGCCTGAGAGGTAACACTAATTAGAGCCAATTGCAGTAAATTAGTCAATCCCCAAGACATTTTCTACAGATAAAGACGGGTTTTATTTGTAAGTTCTGCATAAACAAGGATATTAAATGCATCATCAAAAATAAGTTGAATTCTATGTCTGCAGGATGCACACACACCTGAACTCATATCGTTAGCCTGTGGGTGTGTGTGTGCATGCCTGTCTGTCTGTGTGTGTGGAAGTTGGATCAAGGGAGTCTGCTTTCTGTGTACAGCCCATGAGTTTATGACACAGGAGACTCTTTCATGTGCCCGAGGCTGCGAGAGGGTATGAGTGGTCGGGCGGCGTGGAGCCAGGGTTCACACACTGCTGCCCACTGTCCAGAGCTCCGGGCAGCCAGTCAACGCCAGGGAGGCCTAGCCCTTCTGCCACTGCTCTGGGGAAGTGTTTCGGGACCTGGGGGGTGGTGGTCCAAAGTGGCCACCCAGAGAGAGCCAGGCCCCGTGCCCAGTGTGATGCCTCAACCTGCAAAGGAGAGCAGGGGAGGGGAGGCAGAGTTGCCCTGTAGGTGGCAAGATAGCGATGACAGCCACACAGAGTGGTGCCACTCCAAAGACGACGGTTTTATGGAGTGTGTGAGTAAGGAAAATGCTCCAGTTTGGTTAAAATGAGGCACAAATGTATCATTTATTTCCTTCCAATACACATTTGTTTTGTTATAATCAGGAAAATAATGTTACACGTAAAAACGCACACGAGAAAAAGGCATGTTAAAAATGTGAGCGGTAGAAAGCAACTCTCTACAAAGTCCTCTGGTGTTTGTTTGATTTGGGCTCTGCCAGTTTCCTCTAAAAGGAAGTGAAAACATGCAAAGGCAAAGCTTCCGTTTTTTTGTTTTTTGTCTTCTTAAAGAAAAAATGCTGGTTTCTGTCTCTGACTCAATCTTGTGATATCCTCCTCCTCAAAACAAAAAAATAAATGATGTCACTTCTCCATGGGCTGAAGGACAGCGGTACTTTCCACATGACTGTATGACACGGCATGAAGACGCATTTGAAACAACTAAATTGTTATTTTAAAGATCAAACCAACAAAAATCCAGTGCTGTATTGATTTTCCTTTCCGTGAATCCTTTCCCTGTGCTCGGTTTCCTCTCCCCCTGTAAGTAAAGCCCAGCTATCTCAGGCATCGATTCCCCTCAGGTGTCCTTCCTGTCTCCCTCTTTCCCTCCTTACCCTCTGGAGTCAGAGAGCTGGTACAGCTGAGGGAGAGGCCCTGAGACAAAACGAAGGAAAGTGGCCGCTGCTGCTGCAACACGATCGTTTTAGTCCTCTTGTAACATTCCCGTGACCTCTTCCATGAATCGGTTCACTCTTGTTTGTGTCTTTTATATCCAAAGATCTGATCACATACTTGCACATCAACATTTTTTCCCTTAAATATGTAATTTTTCATTCATTGAGCTTTCAGATCTTCACTTAAACGTCCGATGGAGGATTGTTGTTGACGTCGACCAACAAAGGTGTTTCAAAAGCAATGAAACGGGTCTGTCTATGTGTTTGACCTGTGATCCAGAGGCCACACAGCAGCGTATGGATCCAATTGGGCTGCCAGGAAGCTGACAAAGTGTCAGTGGTCAGCCGTGCCACAGGAAGTGATCGATTGCGGGCCTCAAGGGCACTAGGATAGCTCTGTCTCTATCTGTTTCCTGCCACAGACGGTCTGCTTGACTCTCCCTGCCCACTATTTATTATATCTCCCCCAAGTAATACCATCTGTTGTTAAAAACAAGAGTCCTACAAGAGATCCTTTGTTAGATCTAGTGGTTGGAATTGCAACGCATAAATAATTTAAAACCTTTTTAAGGCAGCGGAGGTTAAATCTCAAGTTCTAGTTGATTTGGCATTGGAACTTGTTTCCCCCGTTAGTGTCATTCTGACCATCTCATCTCCGCTTGTTTGTTTGTGTTTTTCTCCACCCTGCCTCTCTGGCGCGACCGCCCTCTTCTTGGTAATATTCCACTGGCAGATAGAGCGATGGGTGGCATGGTGCGAAGGCCTGGGTGTGTGAAGGGTGCTTCAGCTGTGTGTAGGCTGGGTCCATCTGACAGCACAGTGATTTTTTTTTCGTAAAAGTACAAATGCAATCCTTTTTATTTAATTTATAATTTTTATTTGGAGAAATATGCCCGGGTCGCACTCACGCTGGTTCGTTAGACGGAACACAAACAAACACGCCGTCAGAAGCAACCCGTCCACTGGTTCTACTTCCTTTCTGCTTCTTTCTGCTCTCCAGTTCACACATTGCCCAGACTCCCTGAAGACCTTCATTGTTGAGGGTGATGTGGGGTGTAGGGTGTGCCCCCCCCCCCCCCCCCCATTCTCATACTCATCCATCCTCCCACCCCCCCAGGGACTTACCTGTCTGTTGCGTTCATCCATAATCCGCGTGATCTGAATCTTTTTCCTCCCCATTGTCCCCGTCTTTTTCTTTCTCTCCTCTTTCTTAAGAACTTGAAGCTTTCTTCTTTCGCCTCCTTCTTCTTCTATCTCCTCTTTCTCTTCACTCTTCTGCTCTTCCTTTATCCGTCTCTCTCTCTTTTTTTACCTGCTTTCTTTTTGTTTCAATCAGCTCAAAGATCCAGCATCTGTACCTGCAAGACAGAAGGGGAGGGGGTAAGAGAGGATTAGCATTAAATGAAATGAAATATGGCAAAATAGTGAGAAAAAAACTATAAAAGTGGCATCATGGCAGCCACAAGGGAGGGTGAAGAAAGACAAAGAATCTGTCAACAGTGTTGTGAGAACTGCTGTGTTTTTCGCTGTCGATATCATGCAAATCAGTTCCTGCATTTTTTTCTCAGGCACCTTCTATGAGAGGAGACAGCGCTGTCAGGATCGTGCCTCGTTCTTTGACAGTGTTTTGGATGTGCCGCCACCTTAAACGCTCTAATCACCTACACTGTAACATTACCTCCGCACTGAGAACTGCATTTTGTTTCTTCCCTTGAAACCCCACTGTATTGACAGTGGAACTGCCAGCCACAACTTTCCACCACTCTGTCTGCAGCCCGCCGCCAAAAAAGACAGATGTGAGCGGCGGGATGAAATGCAGATGCAAAACTGAACTCGTTCTTACCATGCTCGAGCAAAATAATGACATGTTTTGTAGGATACATGTTTTTTTTTCTTGCAGACAAGATAGAAACAGAACTTGCACCTAATCCAGCTGATGATGCTGCTTTGTCAGTGGCGCCACCTGAACACTAGTGAATCACTGCGCCTGTGTTTGTGCACAGATGAGGATGTAGGAACGTGTGTTTCGCAGGTGGAGACCAGCAGCTGATCTCTCTAGGCTCCATGTGTGAGGAAGAGAAAGCCTGCGCTCCAAAAAAGTTTGAGTGACCGTCCATGTGTGTGTGTGTGTGTGTGTGTGTGTGTGTGTGCACTCTTGTGTGAGCTTGGCTAAGCCAGAGCTCCGGTGCATCTCTCTAGAGTGCTAAAGTGGGCCAACCCAATCTATCTCGGGGAGGAGCAGAAGAACTGTTGTTGTGTTTTCTTTTGACAGTAGAGGTGATAACGTCCCTCGTTATGCAAATGAGCATCCCATTATTTAAGCTCAGTGCAATGCAGGGGAGCTGTCAGCGCCATCACATAAAAAAAATCTCCATCTACCCTGCCTTTTTTTTCTCTGCTTTCCCCTTCTTCTCTCTTCTCTCCTGTCTGAACCACATTTCCGGCACCTGGCAGCACAAGCATCAGACATTGATGTGGAAGACGACACCACTTCACCAAAAGACATGTCAGTCTCAGTCTCTCTCTCTCTCTCTCTCTCTCTCTCTCTCTCTCTATCACTCTCTATCTCTCTTTTCTCAAACACCCTTGCTCTTTTCCTCACTCCCTCACATTCTCTCCTTTGCATACGCTCATACATATACCTCCACATTGTAAAGCACACTTGTTCCTTTTTCCCTGTCCTCCTCCAACCTGCATGTGTTTATTAAGTAGCATGCACAAGGAAGCAGCAGAGAGATCGAAACCCTTCGGTTGTGGTGCTTCGCTGTGCACTTGACCTTTTTGAGCTAGAGAGTAGGAAATTGATAATGAAAGTTTGCAATGGAGATATCCAGGGATGCAGTGGCTCTTCCTGACAGACCAAGGCCTGTGGCAGTAGCACATGATGGTAGATTTGTCCATGTGCAACAGAAAATATAGGCTTTGTAGAGCTGCTGCATGTTTTTTATACCACTTCTTTAAAACTAAGACAGCTCGATGATGAGACCCTTCAGCGGAAATATGCAAAACATTTATCTATTTTATATATTTTTACAAGACTGTCTCCTAAAAAGCTTCCATCACATGAAAACAAACAACAACGTGAGACAATACAGTCAGTCAACCGTTTTCCTGAGACGATGACTTGGAATACACCCACCAATGCAGGAAGCGAGATGTGAGCATAAATGCTTTATTTGGCAGTTAGAACAACAGTCAGACTGCTCCATCACAATAACAAGATCTGAAATAACACTGTGGCAGCTCTGAGGAGGCTATCCAAAACATTTTAGCATTGCTTTGCGCAAACACACCCATCCATAGACAGAAAAACAAAGAGCTGCCCTCTGGTACAAACCAAAAAAAAAGGATGTTGTCAGACAAACTAGGATTACAAGCCAGCACTAAGGCGCTTGGCACAAGACAGCCAGACAAGGATATCAATCAAGCCGGCGTACCTCAATCACAAGCTGACAGCATCATCCCCTCCCAGTCTTTGTACTCAACATTACCAGCCTGGGCATTGCTCCAAACAAGGAGGCATTACCTCCATGATCCCCGCCTGCTGGCCTCCACCTCCTCCTCCTTGTTCCTCCTGCAGCTCACTAAGCAGAGCTGAACCTCTCAATGTCAACACCCTCTGGGGCAACACCTTAGGCCTTACGTAACGCTAACACTAAGATTAAGCCTGTGTCCTGAACATTTAATCCCCGATTCTGGCTCTCAGCACAAGCCAGCACTCCCCGAGGTGAGGTTCTGCTGCCACTTAGCCCCGTATTGATGCCTCCACCGGCTCAGCCAGCTCCCCTCATGCCTTTTCATCTACGCTTCGTCTATACCTCCTCCTACACAACAGGGCAAGTTGCCTTCCCTCCGCCCCTCCCTCGTTTGCCACCAACCCCCCCACTTCTCCTCACACCCGCCCCCGTCCCATATGAGAGCCAGACAGCTTCTGGTTAAAAAGTGAGTGCCCACCTCCTCATTGGGCTTCTTTCCCTTTCCTTTCCATGTGGTAGCTAGAGCATCGTTTAACTTAACAGATTACCACTGACTCACTAAATCCAATTTAGTCTCATGACGCCAAGACAGACAACTGGAGGGAATTGCAGGAAACAAGCAGTGCTTATTGAACTTGCTGAAGTGGGGTAGCACTTTAGTCCCCACCTGGACTTTTTTCCACTTTTACATGCCACTTTGCTTTACCCAATGCCTCTCTGCTTGACACTCAGCTATCAGGGGTTGGATTGGGAGGTTAAACCACCAAATAGTTCCCGAGCACTGCCATTGCTGCAGCTCACCGCTCCACACGGGGATGGATCAAATGCAGAGATTTAATTTCACCACTGTGTGGTGAAGACTTATGGGACTTAGACTTTTAACACTGAGTTGACGCAGGCAGCATGTTCACATACTTGCTGATGCACTGCACATAGTACTGGAGGATTCCACTAGGGGGCGCAGCACAGAACTCAGAACGGATAGAGAGTCTGAATTTTAGGGCACAAACAAAACAAACATGGTGACAATAGAAGAGATCAGGAGCTGGTTATTTATGAGATCACGACTGAAAAAGCAGCAGCAGCGGTATCATTGATGGGGATTAAGACCTCCTAAATAGAAACGGCATGACTATGGCGAACGTATCTCACTCCTTTTGCCAACTCCCTCTACTGGTTACTCACATATTGCAGCTTGTGAACCCATGGCGTTAATTTCAGAGGAAGTGCACAAACAACGCTTGTTATCCAAGGTAGCCATGATAAACACACATACGCATCATTAAAATAAAGAATATCCTCAGTCTTAGTTTGGTAACCAACCTTCGTGGTGAGGTAAGGCGTAAAAATAGAGAAAAGTGAAAACACATCAAGAAAAAATAACTCACTTCAGCCCTTTTTTGTCATTATACCAATCCAAAAATAGAAAGTGAAATGGAAGAATACACATAAGAGATTATTTATCTACTTTATAGACTGACTAATGGTATGCTTGGCCTGGAAGCAGTCTGGTGTGGACTGGTAAGGTCAGAGAGCTCCGTATCTCCAAGCACACAGAGTGACAACAGTTGCTCCTCTGCTTGTTTCACATCTTCCAGCTTGGAGTTTGAAGAGATGACATTGAAAGGCAAGAAGGGTGGTGAGAAGAAAACAGAGAAATTGAGTGAGGAAAGGGAAATGGAGTGAAGCGTAAAGAGGGATCTTTTTGAACAGGCACCATGCCTCTCCAGGGGGAGGGAAAGAGCTGTACCCACGACCCTCCCATCTGTTAAGCAGACGGATGGAGAGTAAAAGAGAGAGAAAGAGTGAGAGAGGGAGGAAGACTAGGGGGGAGGATAGGAGAGACAGGGAGAGAGAAGAGATTCAGCACAGATCTAATGAGCGTTTTCTCTCCGTGTCTCAGAAGTGAAGCTGAGAGGACAATGAGAACACGTACACTCAGAGCACCACAAGGCTTGATTCTAGGTCGCCTCTCTCCCAAGTGTTTAGTCACTAAAACTAACATGCAGCACACGGCGCTTTTTCACATTCTAACAGACGTCTGTTAATGTGGCTCCGGCATAAAGGACATACGCTGACGATGTCTGCTTCAACTGAATTGGACAGCCAAAAACGAAGGAACTTCAACTTTCACTCATTCTCAAGGCAAATGCATCATTTGGAAGAAAAAGAAAAAGCTACTGAGTTGGGTTTGTGAGTGAGGAGAATTGAGACATCAAGAGCCCAACTTCTAAGAAAAAAGTGTTAAATAAACACGTTGGCATTTAGTGAAATGGTTTCTGCATTTATAAAATAGTGAAGGAACATGTTAAGAACGAAACAAGTACTCCTCTAAAGGTACTGTGTGCTGGATTCTGCTGATCCCGCTCTTCTTACACCCTAATTCTAGACGTTAGAGCAAATTGGGGAAGGTCATTTATCATGACAGATTTGGCAATGTTTTTTTAAGAACCTGCAGTTCCATGATGCAAGGTAGATCTGTAACACATTTGGTCACAGCTTGTATAAAGAATGGTTCGTATAATCCTGGGAAAAATAAAGAATCTCTGTGGTTTACAGAGCCATAATCTAATGACCGTTATGGAGCACTTTGCTGGCTTGGTTTGACTCTTCCTGTAAACATATCAGAGAGAATCAGCGCAAATCAGTCCAAATGTGATGCTATGTGCAGTAAAACATCTTTATAATGAAGGGGGTGATGCTCCATTGCTTTTAGTAGATACAAAGTCCCAAAACACTTTGATAAATAAAAGAAAAAACATCATCACATGTCATGATTTTTGATGAGATTTCAATCAAAAAGAACCAGGAAATAGCTGCTGTTCTTTATTTGAAATAACACATTACACTTTCTTAAATATATCTTTTAGGAGATTATGGTA